TATCCCCGATGAACAAACACAAATATTGGCTTTTATGAGGATATATTTAAATTTTCATTTTATATTAAATTAATTATAAGTTAATTTTTGTAATGATCATTTATCAGTTTTGACCCGATGCGGATCTGTGCTTGAGAGAAAACTGAAACTTATTTTATTAGACAGGCTTTATTACGACTTAGATGAGTTTTATTGTGTTATATTTTGGTTCTGTATTGTTATGAATAAATCGTCCCTTTATAGGTATTTATTACATTTTATATAGGTACTTTTGTTAATTTTATAAATTTTAACTTGTCTTAGAATTCATAAATGTTTTATTATGTTCTTATGATGCTTGATTTTTACAATTTTATTGTATTGTGTGTTCTTTGACTGTCTGTAGTTGGAAAATTAGTTTTATTATAGTCTTTGAAAGTCATTGTAAACCCTATGGTTTACAATAGTTTTATGGTCCTAAACCTCCATTTGAGCTATCAACTGCAATGAAACAGACTATAGTTTAGTTTAATCAGCTTTGTCGTTGTCTTAGTAAAGCACATTTTCTATTCTCTATAGGTCAAAGCAATAAGTCCAAAAAATAATTTTGTAGATAATCACATGAAGTTGTAACGGAAAAAGGGAACTTATGGAAAGAGATAATTATAGTGAAGTAACCACCCCGCCAAAATATGTATTCTAATTTTGTATCTGGTATCTATTATGCGGCATGTACCTTCATTATTGTCAAAAATATCAAAGTCGTGTATCTAAAAAAGATGCATTTTCTCACATTTATACAATTGGTACCTACCAAGATACTCTCCAGTATGGATTTGAAGTGTCGGCTTTGGCAAAAGCAGATTGCATCATTGGCAAAAAAAATTTAAGTGACGATGAAGTTGTGTTAGTAAAGGAGAGAAAGGAGTTGTCATCCTCACGTTATCATCCGCATATTGGAGTTCAATTATTAATGATGTCGTCGATACTTTCGTCTTGGCTCGTAATCTGTCTAGGTTGAATAAGCCGCCATCAAGTCAGTACAGTATTTCCACTCCTGACGGCAGGTGACCCTCGATAAGCCCTGATTAAGGCCTGTAATTATTTGAAAAGGCGCTCCTTGCCCATTGTTGCTTGGGACGGTTGCATTCACATTATCATGCAGAAAGCGAAGTATCTAGATGTAATTTTGCTGACACCCAACCGTTGCCAATATCTTCGAAAGAGTTTCTCTGTTCACCCAATCAAATGTCCTTCCTTCCTTCCTAGCGGTTCTCTATCCTCTGGATATAGGGCCTCTCTCAGATTTTGCGAGGTATTTCTATTCTGTCCGACCTGGTACCAGTTTAGTCCTGCTGTTCGCATGATGTCGTCGTACCAGCGTTGTTGAGGTCTACCGACGCTTCTTCGTTTACCCCAGGGTCTCCATCTTCTTATTTTTCCGCTTCAGTTGTTGCTTGTGTTTCTCGCTACGTGGCCGGTCCAGTTCAATTTAAGGGTGCATATTCTATGTGTAAATGTCTTCGACCTTTGTTGTGTTTCTTATCCATTCGTTGGTCTTGTGATCCCTAAGTATAATAACTATCATTCTCCCTCCGACTGCTCTCTGATGTACTTGCAACTTATTTAGGATGTTCTTTATGAGCGTCCATAGGCAACCACTGGTAGAATACATTCGTTGTAAACTTCAGTTTTCAACTCCAACAATAACTTGACTTAAATTATTGTTGAAGTCCCGAAAAATTGTTCGAAAATAATTGTTCGAACGGAAAATTCTTCGAAAGGAAAATTGTTCGAACGGAAAATTATTCGAAAAGAAAATTTTTCGAAAGGAAAATTGTTCGAACAGAAAATTGTTCGAAAGGAAAATTGTTCGAACGGAAAATTGTTCGAAAGGAAAATTGTTCGAAAAAAAAATTGTTCGAATGGAAAATGTTTCGAATGGAAAATTGTTAATAAATGTACTTATACTCCTCGGAAGCGTAAATCTACCAAAAACATAAAAAACCTTTTTTTAATACAACAGCTCGAAATTTCAATTATTTCTGAATCTCCGATTGCTTGCTTCGCTCACCGAATCTCAAAGAGAAGATCCGCGGAACCGTAAATTCGGCGCAGGTCAAAATTTTATTGGTAACCAGTACACTTCTAATCAGTATCAAATGAACTGTAACGAAACTAACCAAAAATATGCAAACTAACCCAAACTAACCCGTCCACGTAATGCGTGCTAGTCCTTGTATGTTAATATTAAATTTAAAAAACCAAGCGCCTCCTATTGTCAAGCAGTACGCTTTTAGACAGTATTAAACGAACCGTGACCAAAATAAACAAAAATATGTAAACTAGCCCAAACTACCCCAAAAAAATGCAAACTAACCCAAATTAACCCGTCCACCTAATGCGTGCTAGTCCTTGTATATTAATATTGAATTTAAAAAACCAAGAATTAAGAATCAGGGACAAATAGTAAGAATTAAGGAATTGGGTAACTCCGGTCATAGATTCATTTACGATTCACAGTTAAACTATTGATTTTTCGGCAAAAAAACAATTTTCCGTTCGAACAATTTACTTTCGAACAAATTTCTTTCGAACAATTATTTTCGAACAATTTTCCGTTCGAATAATTTCCCGTTCGAATAATTTTCCGTTCGAACAATTTTCGGTTCGAACAATTTTCCGTTCGAACAATTTTCCGTTCGAACAATTTTCCGTTCGAACAATTTTCCGTTCGAACAATTTTCCGATCGAACAATTTTCCGTTCGAACAATTTTCTTTCGAACAATTTTCTTTCGAACAATTATTTTCGAACAATTTTCCGTGGACGGTTTTCTACAGATATATTGATCCCTCTATTTTCCCAGTGTCGTTCCTTGAACACATCTTCGAGGACTAGGGTGAACAGCTTAGGTGATATTATATCCCTTGTCTTATGCCTCTTTTGATCTTCACTTCATTTGTATCTTCATGCATTCTCACTGATCTATTCGTGTATTTCTCATAGCTCTTTCTATCGCCCAGAATTCGACAGTGTCGAAGGCTTTTCCTAAAATCGATGAATGTTTCCGGGGCTCTTTCTATAGCCTACTTGTTTTCTAGGTTGGTAATCATCGAATTTCCTTTCTAGGCCTTTGGTGATTATTCTCATTAAGAGTTTGTATATCTGAGACAGGCTTATGGGTCTATATTTTTCAAGATTTGATGGGTCTCCATTTTTTATATCAGAACGAAGATGGCATTCTCCCAGTCGTATGGTATTTTCGTCTCTGTAAGAAATTTATTGAAAAGTGTTTTCAGTCGTTTATAAGGTATTCTCCTGCCGCCTTCAGCATTTCTGGTAGTATATCGTCCATTTTCGGGGCTTTTGCATTGTTTAATTGGATTAGCGCTTTTGCAATTTCTTCCTCTTCTATATAAGAGATCTCTCCATGATGATGAATCCAATGCTTTCACTAAACCGATGAAGACCATAAATGATAAACTCATCTTGGCAATTCTTTGTAACGGTAGAGTGTCAGCGCAAACTTGTTCCCGGAAAAAATGTTCCATTATGATGTGATGATAAAATAATCTTCAAGAGCAAAGGAAGTCATCTATATCAAGAAGTGATATTGTATATCAGGTGATGGAGCAGCGGGGTGATGATTGGTGAGTGGGCCCAGCGAGCGATTGCTTCAGTACTTGATAAGGCTTTCAGGCACTTCGATACAAACTGATTGGTGCAACTAAACTTAAGGATATAGGAGTTACATTTGAGCTGTGGATTCAGTAATACCAGATTACCACACTGATTGAGCTGTATATTGGTGGAGAGCGTACTGGAAATTGGAATCTCCATCGTGCAACTGACCACTTCTTTTTTCTTAAGTAGGTAATATTCTTACCGGTGTGAAGTTAGCAGCTTTTTTCTGGCAGCCAAAATTGTGAAGTTAGCAGCCATTTTCAGCAGCCAAAAATGTGAAGTTAGCAGCCATTTTCAGCAGCCTTTTTTTATTTATATTTTTTCAACGTGAAGGTAGTTTCATTAATATCTATGGTAGTTTCCTCAAACCAACATGATGTGAAGAGGCTCTTAGGACACACAAAAAAAAACATTCAAAAATTTAGTATCGTCTTTCAACAAAGTTTATCTAAAATATGATTAACTTACGAATCCTTTAACACAGCTTATTAGGGTGATAAATGGTGATTAATCTACAATCTAAACCTTCGAGCCTTCACGATCCGTCAGGGTTAAAAAAAAACCACCCCCATATGTTAAAAAAATTGCGGAAAAATAGTAAAAAATTGTGTGCGTTAATAAAACTTTGCACACAGCTCATTGAGGTGCTAATGAACCTATAAAATGAAGGAAAACCCCTTACGACCCGTCAGGGTAGGAAAAAACTTCAAACAACCACCCCCATATGTTAAAAAATTCGCAGAAAAATAGTAAAAAATTGTTTGCGTTGATAAAACTCTGCACACAGCTCATTGAGGTCCTAATGAACCTACAAAATGAAGGACAACCACTTACGACCCGTCAGGGTAGGAAAAAACCACCCCCATATGTTGAAAAAATCGCCGAAAAATAGTAAAAAATTGTATGCGTTGATAAAACTTTGCACACAGCTCATTGAGGTGCTAATGAACCTACAAAATGAAGAACAACCCCTTACGACCCGTCAGAGTAGGAAAAAACTGCAAAAAACCACCCCTATATGCTAAAAACATCGCAGAAAAATAGTAAAAAATTGTGTGCGTTGATAAAACTTTACACACAGCTCATTGAGATACTAATGAACCTAAAAAATGAAGGACAACCCCTTACAACTCGTCAGAGTAGGAAAAAACTCCAAAAATCCACCCCTATATGCTAAAAACATCGCTGAAAAATAGTAAAAAATTGTATGCGTTGATAAAACTTTGCACACAGCTCATTGAGGTGCTAATGAACCTACAAAATGAAGGACAACCCCTTACGACCCGTCAGAGTAGGAAAAAACTCCAAAAAACCACCCCCATATGGAAAGTTTCATTAACGCACACAATTTTTTACTATTTTTCTTAGATTTTTTTAGCATATGGGGGTGGTTTTTTGCAGTTTTTTCCTACTCTGACGGGTCGTAAGGGGTTGTCCTTCATTTTGTAGGTTCATTAGCACCTCAATGAGCTGTGTGCAAAGTTTTATCAACGCATACAATTTTTTACTATTTTTCGGCGATGTTTTTAGCATATAGGGGTGGATTTTTGGAGTTTTTTCCTACTCTGACGAGTTGTAAGGGGTTGTCCTTCATTTTGTAGGTTCATTAGTATCTCAATGAGCTGTGTGTAAAGTTTTATCAACGCACACAATTTTTTACTATTTTTCTGCGATGTTTTTAGCATATGGGGGTAGTTTTTTGCAGTTTTTTCCTACTCTGACGGGTCGTAAGGGGTTGTTCTTCATTTTGTAGGTTCATTAGCACCTCAATGAGCTGTGTGCAAAGTTTTATCAACGCATACAATTTTTTACTATTTTTCGGCGATTTTTTCAACATATGGGGGTGGTTTTTTCCTACCCTGACGGGTCGTAAGTGGTTGTCCTTCATTTTGTAGGTTCATTAGGACCTCAATGAGCTGTGTGCAGAGTTTTATCAACGCAAACAATTTGTTACTATTTTTCTGCGAATTTTTATCATATGGGGGTGGTTGTTTGAAGTTTTTTCCTACCCTGACGGGTCGTAAGGGGTTGTCCTTCATTTCGTAGGTTCATTAGCATCTCAATGAGCTGTGTGTAAAGTTTTATCAACGCACACAATTTTTTACTATTTTTCTGCGATGGTTTTAGCATATGGGGGTGGTTTTTTGGAGTTTTTTCCTACTCTGACGAGTCGTAAGGGGTTGTCCTTCATTTTGTAGGTTCATTAGCACATCAATGCGCTGTGTGCAAAGTTTTATCAACGCACACAATTTTTCATTATTTTTCTGCGATTTTTTCAACATATGGGGGTGGTTTTTTCCTACCCTGACGAATCGTAAGGGGTTGTCCTTCATTTTGTAGGTTCATTAGCATCTCAATGAGCTGTGTGTAAAGTTTTATCAACGCACACAATTTTTTACTATTTTCCTGCGATGTTTTTAGCATATGGGGGTGGTTTTTTGGAGTTTGTTCCTACTCTGACGGGTCGTAAGGGGTTGTCCTTCATTTTGTAGGTTCATCAACACCTTAATGAGCTGTGTGCAAAATTTTATTAACGCACACAATTTTTTACTATTTTTGTGCGATTTTTTCAACATATGGGGGTGGTTTTTTCCTACCCTGACGGGTCGTAAGGGGTTGTCCTCCATTTTGTAGGTTCATCAACACCTCAATGAGCTGTGTGCAAAGTTTTATCAACGCACACAATTTTTTACTATTTTTCTGCGATTTTTTTAACATATGGGGGTGGTTTTTTTTCAACCCTGACGGATCGTGAAGGCTCGAAGGTTTAGATTGTAGATTAATCACCATTTATCACCCTAATAAGCTGTGTTAAAGGATTCGTAAGTTAATCATATTTTAGACAAACTTCGTTAAAAGACGTTACTAAATTTTTGAATGTATTTTTTTGTGTGTCCTAACAGCCTCCTCACATCATGTTGGTGTGAGGAAACTACCATAGACATGAATGAAACTACCTTCACGTTGAAAAAATATAAATAAAAAAAGGCTGCTGAAAATGGCTGCTAACTTCACAATTTTGGCTGCCAGAAAAAGGCTGTTAACTTCACACCGGTATATTGTTGGGATTTTTAATGGGCAATGTATTGTTAGTCGGCCTTTTCGTGTACCTTTACTCGTTTTTTTTTTTTTTTTTTTTGAATAATACCCAATTTCGATAGGTATTAAAATATTATACTCAACCACATAATTGAGACTAAATGAGGATCATCCAGGGAATAACCTACGAAATAAAATAAAAAAATCACTGAAAACGCGGTCACGTACGTCGCTGATGGACAATTAAAAAAATGTCGCGCGTACATAAAAAATTCAAGAGGTGCGCAGGAAACCATAAATCGCTGCCGCAATTTCTTGTGTCGCATTTTTGATGCACTTTTTTGCATTTTTTGCACTCGCCGCGCGATTTATGAGTTTGTTTTCGACTTTTGTAATAACGGCCCTGGAAAATGCAAAGAGGTGTGAATATATCGATAAAACCCCCAGAGCCAGAGGCACACAAAATGTGAACGTCGAATTTCGCACAGCTCAATGGATGTTTACATTACTTAGAACGTTGAACTTTTTTTTTTTTTATTTAGACATAATTTTATCTTTCACAAACTACATGCATCACACAGAGATATACAGAAAAGGATTTTATTGAGGCGTGAATTTTTTTGAATAAATTTCCTTTTGCCTTTTAGGTGCTGATTTTCGCCAATCTTTATCGGGACTAGATCAATGAAGCTAAAGTTTTTAGGTTCTTCCCAATGACTTGATAAGTGAATGAATTTTGAAATGGTAGGTACATAATTATTATACATTATTGAAATAACAAAATTAGGATATGTAACAGCACGGCAGAAACAGCACGGAGAAAAAAACATGGAGAATTTGTAAAAATTATTTTTGTTAACAGATAGGTACCAATATTTTGTGTGTAAAGAATTTGCTGAAATGTTTGGAGCCCCGACCTTAATAGAAAAATTTGATCATCCAAAAAAAAATAAACTCAACAAATCACTTTCGTCAGTTTACCTATAAGAGTTTACTCTCATTTTATCCAAAAATTAAATTTCACTAGAAGACGCGGAATATAAAAGAACAACTTTTCCCGGCTGTAGCTTTCAAGCTTGGCGAGATTTAAATATATGTTATCCATTCACAGAAGGTGTCATCAAGTACTTCTGAGACAGATAGCTTACATAAAGAGATGCACGGATGCATATTATGCTCCCGAGATTACAATCTCTAAAGTAAAAACAGTGCCTAGCTAATGTGCACATTCAGTGACAAAATCTGGGTTTCAGGAGTATACCTAGATATTGAGGCTCACAGTTTTTAGGGCAAGATAATAATTTCCATATAAAAATAACCTTGGATGATGGGTTTAAAAAGAAGACTAAGCAAAAATGTTTTATAGTTCACGCGTTACTAGATTTACAACATAACATGATAATTTAATGTTTCCGGATGATACACAAGTTGAAATTTGTATCGTATTGCAACTTGATAACGGGAGGCAAAATCGGAACGGTTTGTTTTAGTGGTAAAATGAAATGTTAATTAAAGTTTGCATAAGGTTTATTATACAAAATATTGACAATTTGAAAAGCAAGTACCTGTATAAAGGATGCTTACTAATCCAGGACCTTCTTTTTTCGAAATTAGATCCATAAAAATAGCCCAAAAAGGGTCCGCGCTTTGAAGTAAGTCCCGGAAAGCTGCATATCGATTCAATCACGTTGTTTGGCATTTAAATGAAGGAATTTGATTTGAAGTTTTCTTTTGCCTGAACGAACTGATCACTATGTAAATTGGGTTAGTAGACAGAGAAAAAATTATTATCCAATAAGAGAATGTCAACTTTTCATAGAATTTTACTACATAAAACCCACAGAAGGAACAGACAAACCGTTCATGAAGGATCATCGACTTAAAGTTTTTTCATAAACAGTTCGCGTACAACAAATTATTTCAACATAAACCACACAAGCTTTGTAATAACAAACTTACAGGTTATAAAGTAAATATATACATTGAAACTCGGTTGAGCTATTTGTGTAAGAAAGTAAATTATTAGGAATAATACAAAAAGTTGTTTGCTTGCTTCACTAGGTATGTACCTAGTGGATACATGGATGACTTGTTATTCATTTATTATATCTACTTGCCATTGAATGAAAAACTTTGAATTATTGTCAGAAGTAAAAAGGTAAAAAAAGAGTAACTATAGACGAGCATAGGACAATGGAAAAGCTAGAGATGGTGTATTAGAAATTAAAACTTATGCAGATGAAATAGAAATACGGGATAAAACCAGCAGAATGATTAGGTAAGTAAGTACCCACCCGAACAGATAGATAATGGTTGTTATAAAGCACAAACTAAAAAGCTGAGAAGGCAGGTCTAAGCCTTATAGATTATAAGGAAATGTATAAATAAAATACAATGGAGAATGGGCAAATAAAAGTGAATAACTAATAATCAAAGGAAAAAAATATCAAAATTTATATTTAAAAAAGCAAAGTTAGAAATATGAATATACCTATCAGTTCTACGGATTCGTATTTATTTTTGAATGTGAAACTTAAATAATTGCAATAGGAAATAAGTAAGTAACAAAAAGAAATAGAAATTAAAAGAAAAAAGACTCTCGGCTCCATGCCAAATATTTTCTAAACGGAAATTACTGGCATAGCCATCGCTGTAGAACAGATAGTCAGCAACAATATCACTGACAAGATCGTGCACATCCACACGGATTGCAGTACTAGCTCAAACATGACTCACGTCAGCACTAAATAGTATACAACATTGCCACCGTACCCTCACAGAGGCGTCGATAAAAAAAACTCGGTGGTAGTCAGCTGGATCGAAGAACATGCATAATCACAACAAAGGCAATCGGGCTGCGGATGCTCTGGCTAGGAGGGCCACCAGGCTACAGCCTTCTGAACCAGAGCCCTTCCTGGGACTGACCACATCGGCTGCCAAAGATGTGATCAAAGAACGCTCCCACACCCACTGCCACTTAAACAACCATTTATTCAGGTTGTATCTTAGCACCAAGTCCTTGTGTAGGGCTTGTAATCAAGAAAAAGAGACTGCACTGCTCTTTCGCCAATACGCAAAGCCAGAGTACCCATCTCTAGAAGAGATCAAAGGCACCGCCCTCGGCGACGTGATCGAATACGTTAAATCGCTAGGCTGGATGACGAGCTAAGGATGACCTCTTCTCTTGTGAGAGCGCACAATGGGCCTACTTGGCCCAAGTGCTTTGGCATACCACCCTTCCTTATGCCCTTACAGATAGGGCTAGTGTGGAGGAAACCGAAGAATCAATGGAACAAATACATAAAGATGAAGAGACCTAAACCCTATATTTGATTTTCAAGGATTTTAATAGACTAGAAAATATTTATGTAGTCATTCTGTATTATGTTTATACTAATAACATGACCCAGGCAAAATTATTCCAACTAAAAGCTGACCCTAAATATCAAAATTGAATAAAATATTCTCTACTTTTATTTGTCGGTCTAATTTGTACATCAAAGGGAACCTTAACCCTGCAAATTAAAAATTTTCCATATTAAGCATATTCATGAGTGATTAACAATGTTAATTGTGCAGTTGAGTTGCGGCAAAAATGTGAAAACATTATTCGGTAAAGTCAATGAGTCAATGAGATGCCGCTTAGCAAATCAAAATATAGGCCAAAGTTCATTATAAACACGAAGTGTGTTGTTACGTTACGGCAATACATAAACTGGTTGTTCAATTCCGCAATTAAGTATGGGATTATTGGCTTGTAGAACTTTGAAATTACATGTTTCCAATATCGTTGCTTTTAAATTGTACTACTGCTTTTGACAAAGAAAATTTTACATGCCGGTATTAACCATTTATAGGTTTCCTTGTGCAGAATCCAATTTTAATTAATTTTTCTTTCCTATAGAGATTAAGTTCTACTATTTTGGGGTCCTCCAGCACAAACAAATGAATAATAATAATTGTAGTCTGAGGTACCTACTAATAATTTTAATATTAGGAACTTTCTTGATATATGAGTGAGAAGGTACCTTTCTCACCCAAAGTTTGATATAATATCAGAATCATAAAATAGCAACTTGCCAACCTTAATGGGACATCCTGTATGTGAAGGATAAACCTATAACAAAAAGGACAAACTGGAGAACGGATTTTGATACATTGACTCCAGATTTGGTAAATTTCTATCGAACTTTGTCTAAGATTATTAATGAGCTACGGGTCTAGCGGTTTCAAAATGGCGTCCTTCTAATGTTGTTGAATTTGCCATATAATTTCAAGTTAGAATGCTTAGTAGGAATATTCACATGATGATGATAAATTGCAATAGAAGACCAAAGTCTCTACAATTTTGATTTATTAAGTTAAATTGTGGGACAGACCTATGAACGAGGAAGAGAAAATAGTTCACCTTCTATGATTTGATAACAAATAATAGAAATAGACACAATATCAAAGCTTGTTGCTATTCACTTTAGTTCAAATTTTGATGAAAAAGACAAACTTGGTAACTATCCCTTGCTGCTTTTTAAACAGGCTGATAAGGATGCTGAATATTTTCAATGGGAATGAGCATGATGCTTTGGATTCGGAATGAGATGATCTCTCCGAAAACTCAGAGTCAGACCTATGATGAAGTACCTTGCTTGCTTGGTATTTCTTGTTTCTTTTATAATAAGGACTCTTTTCTTATTTCAGATATTTAGTCAACAAGGAGTGGATATATTATTTTTGATTGCCTCAAAATTAAACAT